AATGTGTACATGTGGTAGCTTTGCAAATGGCGTCCAACCGTAAGAAACTATTCCTTTGAGCGGATTCCCTCCCAATTAGGCGTCAAAATCGGGACCACTTTTTCCATTAGTGCGCTATGAAGTTCGATCTCCTTACTCTTACTTCATGATTTAGGTGTAGACGCAGACCATAGAGCTTATACTCATGGAGAGGCCCTGCGACCGCAAGGAGGATCGACAAAGAGAGATATATTTTTCTGTTTCAACTGTGGCCGCTTCTTATAGAAGAGAATAACAGAAAACATGGAGTGGGAGAGCCACAGTTGAGACAAAATATATCGAAATATATTTCTCTTTGTCGATCTTCCCGGCGGAGCCTTCTCTATGATTAGCATATAGGCAGGGCCTCTCCATGAGTATAAGCTCTATAGTTCGTTTTTTACTGGCAGTACTGCCGAAGTGACGTAATAACATATATATGTAATACTCCTATATTGCTAGTACGGTGCCGACCTGAAGCCACATGTTACGGTGCAGACAATATAGTAGCCTCTCTCTCCAGCTGCTTTGTGCGCATGCGGTGAACATTCAAGCACGTTTGGGCATTTCTCTTTCTCGCGTTCTTTCCAATGCTTTGTCTCGCTCGCATTCGCTTAGTAGACGCGCCTGCGCATAATGACGCTCGACTATCTATGCCCATATTTGGACTTCGTGCGTCTCCCTTTCTCGGGCCTCGTGCCTCTCATTGCGAAGATACGCGACTAGCAATATAGGAGTATTACATATATGCGTAATAACAGTGCACTGCTGTAGCCGTTCCGAAATCACTTCAATGCTGCCAGTGCAAATGTCAGGATGTATAAAGGGTCGTCTACAATGGAGAGTTTTAGACCGTAACAGTAAGAAATTGACAAATCACAATCGATTATTTTTCTGTACTTTGTCTGTGATTGGTCAATTTCTTACTATTACGGCCTACAACTCTCCATTGTAGACGGCTCTTAAGACCTGTTCTACAATACAGTCGTAAGTCGTAAGTCGTAAGAAATTGACCAATCACAGACAAAGTACAGAAGAATTATCGATTGTAATTTGTCAGTTTCTTACTGTTACAGTCTAAAACTCTCCATTGTAGACGGCTCTTAAAACCTGTTTCTACAATACAGTCGTAAGTCGTAAGTCGTAAGAAATTGACCAATCACAATCGATTATTCTTCTGTAATTGATTTGTGATTGGTCAATTTCTTACGACTTACGACTGTATTGTAGAACAGGCCTAAAAGGTCGTCTACAATAGAGAGTTTCAGACTGTAACAGTAAGAAAGTGACACATCACAATCGATTATTCTTCTGTACTTTTCCTGTGATTGGTCAATTTCTTACTATTACGGCCTACAACTCTCCATTGTAGACGGCTCTTAAACGAACGGTGTTACGGTACATACTATAGATACATGCGCATATGCGTGTAACGGAACGCAGCCGATATCGTCTGTACCGTGATGGTTTCGGAACTTTTGAAGCCAAACGAGCAATATAGGAGTATTACATATATGGGTTGAATGTGTGTAGTTACGCTGTGAATATTTTTCGACAATTGTCGGTGTTTTACACCACTTTCGTTATTATTATCTGTTAATTTAAACAAATATACAACTTCGTTGCTTGGCGTCAGGAACCCAATTTACGGTTTAAAACCTATCGTCAAAAAGACGTAGAATGGCGTATGGACTAGCTTTATAGGTCCATTGAGCCAAAAGAGCACCAAACCCAACCAAACCAAACCTTCACGGTCAAAAAGTGCACCAAATCAAACCGATTATTTCACAATAATCAAGCATTAAAATGCAAATATTGTTAAATATTGTGCAGTTATCATTTAATTCGATTTATAGAACAAACCTTTTAAGAACAGCTTCTCTAAAATCAACAATAAGTTACAGACATAAGTGGTCAAGTCGCACACCGGTAGCAATTCTAAATGAAGAGGTTTTTGATGGTGATAATACAGAGACAACTATCACTAAACCTAAGATACAAAAGAGATTTAAAGTACAAAATGAAAAATATAAGAAACAAGGAGAAGAAAAGAGAAATATAAGAAAAGAAAAATACATAAAAGAAGAAGAGAGAAGTGGAACTGAAGTTGATAAAGATAGTGTCCCAGAACAAACATATACAAGTCTTAAGGGAGATGAAAAATTTATAAGGTATGTTATCTAAAAAACGTAAATATTATACTTTGAAAAATATTTTACCAATGAAGTGGTCTATGTAAATGTATTGTTATAATTTTCATGTCTTAGTTCTATAATGGTAGATGTCAGGACAAAAAAAAAAAGAGAAAAAAGTAATCACATGTTATTAGAAGGTTTGCGGTTAATTCAAGATGCAATTTTAGCACATGTAACACCAAAAATGATATTCTTCAGTAGATTTTCTGATATTCAACAATTGTTATTTCTACAAAAAGTACAACTGTACAAGGTTCCTTATCGTACTATTCAATTATGGTCTGTCTTAACAACTTCTCCTGGAATAATGGGTAAATATTATAGTTAATATTAATTAGTACTAAAGTGTGTATACTAAAAACAACTAAAAAATTATTATACACAATACATTTAGATATACATATATGATGATCTGATTACTTTTTTAATTAGGACTTTTTGAGATTCCAAATACAGCAAATAAAGAACCTTCAAAAGATGCTATACCTCTCACTATTATTTGTGATAATGTTCGAGAACCAGGAAATTTAGGAACTATTGTAAGAGCTGCTGCAGCAGTTGGTTGCAAAAAGTTAATATTAATGAAAGGTAATTAAATAAACCTATTTGTTGTACTAATTTTATAACTAAATTCTTTCTCACTTTATGTTCTTACTTAAGGATGTACAGATTTGTGGGATTCTAAAGTTTTACGCAGTGCTATGGGTGCACATTTTCGCATACCAATATTAACATCTATTTCATGGAATGAAATTCCAACAATAATAAGTGAAGAATCGGCGATTTTTCTTGCTGATAGCAGTACTACATATGAAAATAAATATAAAGATGATAGAATATTGGATGATCACTCAGACATGTATTTTGATGAAAGCAGTAAAGAAGATGAAAACAATGGAATAAACCAATTGATAGATAAACATAAAGCAAAGAATGCAACAGCAAAAATAAAGTCGTTTGTAAAACAGTTAACATCTCAACTTCCAGTTGAACCTTATCATATGTTACAATTTACTCAAAAAGAAGTAATACTTGTTATTGGTGGAGAAACAGAAGGTGTGAGTCTTGAATCATGTAAATTGCTTCACTCAAGAAATTGTATTCGTGTGAATGTACCACTGACTAACAATATTGAAAGCTTAAATGTCGGTATGGCTGTTAGTATTATCACATTTGAAATAAAAAGGCAGTTTATAACTCGAAAACTGGAAAATAAAAGTGAATAAAAGCATTTTTAAAAATATATAACTACAAAAAAAAAATTTGTATGAACCTTTTAATGTTATCATTACATATCATCTTTCAATGCATGTGTGACATGTGTAATAAAATACATACGAAGAAAATATAGTAAAAAATCAAGAGTTTTTTTAAATATATTTTTATCTATAGCATGAGAATATCAAGTTCAGTTAACACAACAAAAGAATACACGTTTCCAACGACGTCTGGTATGATTAATACTTTTAAAATCTGTACCGTAAGTACTGCTGATATCCGAAATGGTATTACTTACTAGAGAGCCATGGACTGATACAGTCTCGTTATCTTGGAACCATTCAGGACTATTATTATATGTCAACATATAATTGGATTTTTTATTAACTATCTTGTTGATTTTTGAGTTTGAGATATTTTGATTAGACACAGTTGCAACATGAGTGGATTTTTTTGATTTATTTTGGAAAGTACTCTCGTGGACATTAATTTTCGAGTTAGTATCACGACTGAAAATTGCATTATTTGTTTTAATAGCTCTATTACTAGAGTACTTTTCAGCTTCTAAGTTTGAATTCCAATTATTTTTAGCTGATAATTTTTCCGATTTAATTGTTTGAAATGAAAGAAGCTTTAAATGTTCATAATTTAAAGCAAAATTGCTTTCGTTATAATCAAAATTAGGTGTTAAAGGAGTTTGAAGTTCATGAACATTATTTCTACTTTCTATTTCCACATGCGACAATATTTGCTTTTCTAAAAATATCCTGAATGTATGTTTACTCAACTCAGTGTTTTTCAAATTGGTTCTACACCTTCTTTTGTGCAAAGCGACAGATTCATTTACATCTGCCATCATTTTCGACGAGTGTCTATAAAAAAAACTAGTTGTATCATGATGCCAATGTAAAAAAAAAGATGAAGAATTATCAGAAAAATCAGATATGTTTGTATCCTTACTATTAAAGTCAGATGAATTCTTAGTTGGGGAATAACATTTATTTGAAACATGATTTGAATCTTTGAAGTTTTTTAATAAATGTTCTTCAGCCAACTGTCACTTGCATCCAAAGAAAGTCTGATCGCTTTGTCTACGATGTTGATATGTTAATGGTGCAACTAGTCGGTTATCCTTACTCTTATAATATTCATTAAAATCTAATCGTACGCTAAGTAATTGCAGAGACACATCTTCAGCGGAAGCGAGCATTATTAAAAACTTTTTAACACGATCCTAAAAAGAATATACAGTTTTTCAATAACATTATAAGATTAACTACAGAAAAATATTTGTGTTATGTATTTTAATATTTTAGGTCAGGTTTAATTACAACTGCCTAAAAATTCCTAAGCACTATCTTTCGCTTCACCACATTTATCTTGGCTACTTCGTCATTAGTAATGGGCGCGCTCATGTGTTAGAAAATAGCTTTTCTCAGGAGTTGAACTCGCGCGCTGACGCAGCTTGGAAGCAGTGGCTGCGTTTAGCAGAACAAATTGCTTTGTAGCAATCGAACATGATCTTACTTTTAGAATCAATTAATCAACGTCGAGTGTTGACAAGACAACTCAGCAATTGTTTTGCTAAACGCGGCCATTGCTTCCGAGGTTCGTCAGTTCACTCTCTGAGAAAAGCTATTTTATAATCAAATAAAGTCCAAATTTTTCTAATAAAATATCTTATTATATTTTAACCTTATGTGAACTGACGAGAATCTCAGAAAATTTCAAACTGGTGTCTCTAGTTAAAATTAGTTTTTTTTTTTTTAAACGCTTATATCTTTGAAACTACAAGATGATTTGATTTTAAAGTTGCGTGGGTCTCGATCAGTTCAACTTGTAAGCTGTTTTGAAAGTCAGTCCGAAGTCATCGAAAGGTTAAGTAATTATTATTTTCCTAAGAATTATACATGGTTTTTTAATTAATTATTGTACGTGCGTATTAATTTCTGTAGTAATCCCAAAAGTATCGTAATATCGTATGTAAACATTTGTAATGCAATATTTTTTAATAACTACTTTTTATATATTATATATAATATATAATAATAATTATATATATTATATATTTTATATATTTTAATAACTACTTTTTATATAATTGATATGTACAATTGACGTTATTTTGTATCAAGCATATTTGCATATTACATTACTGAACACGATAGTACCTCAAAATTTTATTTTGATTTTCAAATGACCTCTAATTTGACTCCTAGGTCAAGTTCAAGGTCACCGCGGAACAGAAGAGCGGAAAAATTTCAATTCTTTGCATCATGAACTCACAAACTTTGTTTCGATCAAAATCATCTTCGTAGAAAAAGTACCGGCGGTACTCTAATATTCATTTTTTGTGACTCAAAAAGTATTTACTAAAAATAAACTTTATTATTGTGTTTTGGAAAGCTGTTAAATTACGCTATAAGAATCTGCAATAAAAAATAGATGTTTCATTAAAAAAATTGATATAACCTTGACATGACTTTCTAAATGCCACCCAAGGTCAAACTGATAAGATCAGTAAATAGATCTTTTTAAGCCCTATAACTTTTGTTTGAAACATTTTTTTATAAAACTTATATTTTCCGAGTTATTCAGGTACCGACCTTTTTTTCTTTATCCTGTATATCCTATATGTATATCAGGTTGGTCAAAAAGGTTTTTCATATTTTAAGTCACTCTACTTAGCGCATCTGCATTCGAGATAAAGAGAGGAAAGAGAAAAAGTAATTGTTTTGAATTCACTTAATCTTGCTGCACAAACTGTTGTATACTCGGTTCAATGAGAGAATAGGACACTATTCGCGCATAGGGGAGGAAAAGCGGTCAAAGTGGAGATACCACTCCGCCGCTATTCAGTACCGTAAACATAGATACGTTCAGGCCCGAATTTAGATTTCAGTGGATGAAATAAGCACTCGCTGAAGACTGTACTACTACGAGCCGTACAGCACTGTAAAGTGGGGAGGCTTTCTGGTAGGAGAGATGCGCAGAACAAACGTCCATGGGTGTCCTATTCTCTCAATAAACCGAGTACAGACAGAGAGCGCTTGTGAGCTATTGTGAGTTTATAAAAAAATCACAAGATAGAGCTTTCAAAGCAGCACATTAGACCAATTTTGTTATACGAGTTTAAAAAGGGCGTGAACGCGTCTCAGGCCCATCAAAACTTGTGTGAAGCATTCGGACGAGATGTAATTACTGTGAGGTCATGCCAATTTTGGTTGGAAAAATTTCAATTTTTTCTGCAACTGTTAAATATTCCAAAACATTGAAACGATTTTTTTTTTATGGTGAATCAAGACGAAACAGTAAAAAAGTTGTTAATTTGTATGCTTTGTGTATCCTGAAAAAGGATATCCATCACGTCTTACATTTTATCGTATAGTTAGACAATTTACACTGTAAATGTGTCTCTTAATATATTCTGAAAAACAGAAATTCTACAAAAAAATGTTTCAGACAAAAGTTATGCGTTGTGTTATGTAGAGTAAGATTTCAAAATAAAAAATATAGGTTTACGATATCTTGAAAATGCCCACACATTAAAACTAATAGTGCCATTTGAATCCGTACTCAAAATACTGAAAGACATGTATCAGCTTATTTTTTTTTTAATTGTCTACAAGATTTTTCGCGGTAAATATTTACAAAAGGTCACCACCCTCCGAATTCAATAAGGTTAACATATGTTGTTAAGAACAACTCCCTGATTAACAATTAAAAGATTTTAGCCGTCGCTCGTTGAATGAAAGCATTGATATTATCGACACGGTGACCGTTGGCGCTACTTACTGCTAGAGAACACCGTCTCTCTCACTCCTTCCCGCGTTCACGAAACGAATCTACACCGAGTGTACATACTATTGACATGAAGCGACATGTAATCAGAAGTCGTTCCATATTTTTTCTCAATGGGGAGTACAGGAAGAGAAGCAGAGCCACTCCCCCTGCCTACACGCTTACAACATGAACACATTACGTGAATGTTTCTTCTAAATGTTTACATTATTTACCACTTTCACTGTTTATTTCTTCCCATATCTATGCATTCTCACATATATTTAAGTGTATTTAAACAGTATACATAAACAGTATACGTAAACTCGATACACCTTTTTAAGATTATAACTTTTTAATGAAGAGCAAACGACGGCTAAAACCTTTGGATTGTTGCTTAGGGAGGTGTCCTTGACAACATATGTCAAGCGCATTGAATCCTGAGAGTAGTAGCCTTTTGTACATATTTATCTTTTTCGCTGTGTCAACTTAAATGGATGGGACATATATACAGGGTCCCAGAATTGGTGTAATATTGTAATGGTATAGGTAATTACCTAATAAAATATATGTTTTTACGTAGTTGATTATAAAATAGCTTTTCTCTTAAAATAATTAGAAGTTTCCATGCCGTTAATGTGGCTCGAAAACAGTACACTTGAGCGCGCTCTACTATCGACGTGGATCATTGCAACTAAATCCGAGAATTACGGTTATTATTACCTGATAAGTTCTAGAAAGTAGTCTCAGTTGTATAGAAAGTTTGTTCAAATACTTCGAAAATGCTGCGTCTCTTTCAATAGCTTCGTCATCTGTTTTACTTGTACGACCCCATTTTTTTATTTGCTCTTGTGCAAATTTATCAGCATTGAATCTTGCTTCGTATTCCTGAGTAGCACGAACAAGGAAAGTTTCCTCAAGATTTTGAAGATCTAGTATCGGGCTATATACGGAACGTAAATGATCCATAAGTTGCTATAACATCAAAAAAATAATAAAATTGATGCAAATTAATATGTTTAGATAGCAGATTGTTTAAATGTAATACTTACTTGCGATTTTTCATCCAATAATGTACCATGTCTCACAGAATCTACAAAATAATTGTGAGCTGCAATTATATCATCAAGAGACGTTGCTTGAAGAAGTTGCTTTGTAAATGTATCCCAGGAACATTCAATTACCTAATTGTAACAAAAACATCTTTATTATATGTAAATTTAATAAATTTCATACAATATAATATGTAAATCAGTCATGAAAATAAGTAATAAATTTTTGAGTCGTCAATGTTTAATAACGTAGTGTTACCTCAAATAAAAAGTAATATTGCATTTGATGAACCAAATGAACCATACTGCTAGTAATTAAATGAATATGGTTTTGGATAGGTAATACTTCTGGCATTTTCCTAAACATTTTGGCTGATGTTATTTGCTGCTTCCAAATAGCAGACAAAATCGATTCCATTCTTTTTGCTCTCCATAATGCAAAAAATACAGTTTGATACGTCTGTCTACATGGCTCCAAAATCTATATAAGTGAATATAAAAAAATAATATTAAGTATCAACAACATGCTGTAAACATACAGTATAGTCAGTTTAACTTAATAACTGTTATTAATATATTAGAAGTTAATGTTCTTTACCGTTCCTATAGGTCCGTCAACGTTATAATCTAAAATAAATACATCCCATCCTGTTTCATTTTCCGAAGGTGCTAATAATCTAACATCTAATCGTTTTTGAACATCTAAGTCATCTAACTTTGTACTGGTTGCTCTTATTGCAGTTTCAAGTATAGACGATATGTTATGAGGATATAAAGAACTTGCTGGTTTGTCCAATTCAGGCCTGGAAGAATATATATTCACTTTATATATGTATGTATATGCGTGCGTGTGCACGTGCGTGCGTGCGTGCGTGCGTGCGTGCGTGCGTGCGTGCGTGCGTGCGTGCGTGCGTGTGTGTGTGGCGCGCGCGAATATAGGAGCACATATACAGGGTGATTCAGAATAACCCGTTATCTTTGAAAATACATATTTTTAACTAAATTTTAAGACAACTTTTTATTTGGCAAAATTTTGTCTGAAGCTTACTCTTTTTGAGTTATTAATAAAAATAGTTGAGACTTACCACGAGTCGGATACAAAAGGTAGGCAGGGGCGGCCCACCTCAGACGCGAGCGATTACGTGTGGTGCCTGACGCAATCAGCTGATCACTACACATTGTTTCTATATCTTTCTCTGTCTCTCTCTTTTTCTTTCTTTTTCTCTCACTTATTTATTGACTCATTCGTAACTTGTAATCACTTAATCCGTACATTACATAAATCACTGTCAATCACGGTGAGTTGCGCCGCCCCTGCCTACCTCTTGGATCCGACTCATGGTAAGTCTCTCTCTCAACTATTTTTATTAATAACTCAAAAAGTAAGCTTCAGACAAAAGTTTTTTTATTTGTAAAAAGTTGTCTTAGAATTTAGTCAAGAATATGTATTTTCAAGGATAACGGGCTGTTCTAAATCACCCTGTATGTGTATATATGTATATGTATGTATATATGTGTGTGTATAAGTTCACGCATATCATAAAAATAATTTCTCAAATACGTCTGTTAAAATGAAATGACTAGAATAATTGCATTAAGATATCCTTACTCTAACAAGTGCATAAGATGTTGAATAAAATGGCCTTGACCAAGTAAAAGATATCCTTTAATCCCTTGTAGATGATCCATGAGGTGATATTGTTTTGTCAATATCTCAACAACTCTTGTTGATGTTTCTTTATAAGCAGCATCCATCATAGCTTGCAAACGACCATCTGGATCCATATCGAAGAAAACCTCAACTGAAAAACAAATAGTGTTAAAAGTTCTTATTTCCAATAAATTGTACAAATTATATGTTTCATGCTCGTGTTATATTTCAATAAGAAGGGAGAAGACAATAACAAGCTGTACATCTCATCGGATAAAATTCTTCTTTATTCAGAGATTTGACAAACGTTTCGATCCACTATGGATTCTCTTCAGGGGTTCTCTTTAGTGTCTATGCACACCAGTTTGAGGAAGGAAAGGGGAAGAAAGGCATTCAGTAACCGTCAGCCTCAGCCGCACACATGAAGATGCGAAACATGCTCATACTCAGAAGAAAACTGATAGACTGAATGCCTTTCTTCCACTTTCTTTCTTCAAATTAGTGTGCATAGACACTGAAGAAGATCCCATAGTGAATCAAAACGTTTGTCAAATCTCTGAATAAAAGAGAATTTTACCTGAACTTCGTGTGTACAACTCATTATTGCCTTCTCCCTTCCTTCTTATTAAAATTTTAAAAAACCTAGTTTCTTTCGAATTAGTTATAAACTACAAGTTGAGGTAATTTTTGAAAGCGTTAAAATAAAAATTATTTTATTGTAAACATAATTAATGATTCTTATGTGATTGCTACTAACCATTGTATTCTTCATCATTAATTCTGAACATATCTGCATGCCTATCTTGCCATGGGGAAAAATCTTTACAAACTTCGCGTAAGAAGTTAATACTTTTTCCCGTTCCTAAAATTTTTTTTGCTTGAGCTTTACTTATAAAGGATGGCACCATCGAATTTCTTACTTGATATTTTGTTAGTGGAGACATTCTGTCTCCACTAACATCAGCACATGATTGGATAAAAAACTCTTTAAATGGATCATTTAACTCTCCATCAGCAATCCATCTCATTAACATATCGTATAAGGGATTGCAAATGCTTTCTAAAATTCTTTTCACTAATTTCTTCACCATGGCATCTCCATGGTAGCTGAATTCATAAAGAGTAGATGCTAATGCACCACCTTTTTGGCCTTGGCATGCCCTTACTATACTTGCTAACCACTTCAAATTTTCCAACGGATCACATGTCCATAAATGTAAATGAGAAATTGTTACTCCATATGTATTCATTTGATGTTGTGACCTATTTGTTTACACATATATGTATATATATATTATATTATATATAGTATATACATATACACACACACGCACACGCACACACACGTTATACAGGATGTTTTAGACCATCCGTACATCTTAATTAAAAACGAGAAAAGTTGATTATTTTGAAAAATGTTTTAGACAAAAGTTGTTGGGGATTAAGGACGTTGTAGCGCGACAGTCCGATGCAAAAGTTTTATGTCTGAGTATGGGTTAGGAAATCCTACTTTCTAGCGGTACCGACCAAAAACTTTTGTACAGTCTGTCCTCGTACACAGAGAGTATCTGTTTCGATGCACACATACTATGAAACATTGTCCAGAGTGACAATCTGATAACGTCGCTATCCACTCTCACACGCTAAATAACAAGAAAACTTCAGTTCTTTTTAGGCGATCGTATGGTACATATACCAAAGTGTATCAAACTATAATTTGAAGTTACTCGAACTATGGTTTGGTACACTTTATATGTACCATACGATCGTCAAAAATCGCCTTTTATCACTATATCTTTAAAACTAAACGATCAATCATTTTGATTTTTTTTCTAATGTTTCTAAGAGTCTCTTCTGCCATATATCCGTTTTTGGTCACTCTCTTGTTATTTTTTTTTATTATAGAATTAAAAGTACACGATTTTTGTATGTGTATACACTACATAGGAAAAGTATAACCTTTGAAACCAATTATCTCACGTTCGGAACGGTCAATCTTTTTAAAACTTGACCAGTGTGTAAATATTCCATTTATTAACGTATATCCAAAGTTTCAACTTTTTCTTGTTAAATGCGATTCGAGCTACAACGTCCTTAAGGAATGCATTACATGAGCATATGCGATTGACCTTGAATGACATAATGAAGATCATGTCAAGGTCGACGTGAATTTTTTAAGGTTGTATTCAGGGTGAGATAAAAGATATGCCAGATTATTCGAAATTTGCTAGTCACTAGATAATATTAAAAAAAGAAATTGTGCAAAATTTCACCTCCTTTGCGAGCCTTGTTAAAAAGTTAGTACGATTTTAATTTAACACGAGTTCTTATGGGATTTCACGATATTCTGATATAAATTACAAAATAACTGTAGATGTAGATATGCTATAATTTTGAAACTTTTTGCAGTTGTTAATAAATATCTTAAAAACAAATTCCGCTTGAAAAAATAGTCATTTCGAGAATATCACATAAAATATAAATTTATATTTTGCTAAAATTAATAAAAAAATATATTTAATATACATAAAACAATTATATTTTTAATTTTATACATCAATTGTTACGTTTTAATAACCTTTTATGATTAATACATTTTCAGTTTTTCATTTATCTTACGTTGCACGTAGGGTATAATCCTACTCAAAAATATCAAACGTGAACAATCAAAATGGCACAAAATGTACGTAAAAACTTTTCCGTAGTTATTAAAAGTACAATAAATAGTTTTTGTAACTTATTTTAGTACAAATAATACTTTTCCAGCAAACAATTATTATCTAAATATTAAAATAGGTTCGGTTTACACTGTTTCTGAAACTTTTGACTGAGATCTTATCCTGAATACAACCTTAAATGGAAACCCATATTTTATTACATATTCTTGTAGCCGATGTCAAGGTGTTTTCAAACCATTGGTCACAAACTCTTTGTAGTTAAGATCTTCCTGAGTTATAAAATTTCAGTACTGCCGGCGTTAGCATTACCCAAGATGGATCGCATGGAGATTGCACGGTCGGATTTACATCTCTTGGGAACTCAAGCACCCTGACAAGATGTAAATCCGACCGTGCAATCTCCACGCGGTACATCTTGGATAATGCTAACGCCGGTGATACTGAAATTTCGAAGTCTTATAATTCAGAAAGATTTTAACTAAGTTTGTAACCAATCTTTCAAAAACGTCTTGACGTCAGCTACAAGAATATGCAACAAAATATATGGGTTCCCATTAAAAAAATTCAAGTCGGTTTTGACATAACCTTCATGACGCCATCCAAGGTCAATCGCATATGTCTATATAATGCATTACTTAATTCCTAACAACTTTTGTCTAAAACATTTTTCAAAATAACCACTTCCTTCGTTTTCAAATAGGGTGATACAAGTGATCTGAAATATCCTGTATACAGGGTGTCCCAGAATTGATGTAACATCTCTCATTGACAGGTAGAAGTAAAACTGAGGCGATAAGTCCATTTTGCTAAATTTGCAATAGTTACCGAGATCTTAATTAACAAAGATTCGCGAATAAACATGCATCGGGCTGTCTCATGCGCATAAGACAGTCCCGCGCGCTTCGCGCGGTTGCCTTTTATTATGTATGTTATAAAATATGCTGTTATATTAAGGACGTTTGTAGCGCGAATCGCATTTAACAAGAAACAGTTGAAACTTTGGATATACGTTAATAAATGGAATATTTACACACTGGTCAAGTTTTAAAAAGATTGACCGTTCCGAACGTGAGATAATTGGTTTCAAAGGTTATACTTTTCCTATGTAGTGTATACACATACAAAAATCGTGTACTTTTAATTCTATAATAAAAAAAAATAACAAGAGAGTGACCAAAAACGGATATATGGCAGAAGAGACTCTTAGAAACATTAGAAAAAAAATCAAAATGATTGATCGTTTAGTTTTAAAGATATAGTGATAAAAGGCGATTTTTGACGATCGTATGGTACATATAAAGTGTACCAAACCATAGTTCGAGTAACTTCAAATTATAGTTTGATACACTTTGGTATATGTACCATACGATCGCCTAAAAAGAACTGAAGTTTTCTTGTTATTTAGCGTGTGAGAGTGGATAGCGACGTTATCAGATTGTCACTCTGGACAATGTTTCATAGTATGTGTGCATCGAAACAGATACTCTCTGTGTACGAGGACAGACTGTACAAAAGTTTTTGGTCGGTACCGCTAGAAAGTAGGATTTCCTAACCCTATACTCAGACATAAAACGTTTGCATCGGACTGTCGCGCTACAACGTCCTTAACTCTTCCCATGCGTTGCTACGGGTAACACCGTGAGCGCGCGAAGCACGCCGGATTGTCTTACGCGCGTAAGACAGCCTAATGCATGCTTATTTGCGGATCTTTGTTAATTACTATCTCGGTAACTATTGCGAATCTTGCAAAATGGTATAAGACTTTTCGAATCAGTTTTACTCCTTCTATTTTCTTACAAGAGATGTTATACTAATTCTCGAACATCCTATATATGTATATTATATACATACACATGGTGTAAGTACACCATGATACATACACATATACATATACACATACAAGGTGTCCCGTAATGATTAATAAACCTTGCAAGGAGTAAAAGAGGGTGAAATTTTGAACTAAAAGTTTCTTTTTTATTTTTGGTTTAGACCATTATTTTACGAGTTTGTAACTATTAAAGTTCTTCAATGAAACAACACGCATAGAAAGTATTCAGGAGCGTCGCGCGCTGTGCGACTCCTCGCGATTGTCCCGATTACATTGTTTCTGTTAAAACTGTATTCTACTATGTCGCATTACGTAATAAATGAATAAATAAATAAAAACAGTTAGAAATTAGTCAAATAATTAATTAATTTGAAAAAATTTTGATACGTTGTCCGAAATTAATAAATACATAAATAATTAATCTTAATTGTCTTTTTATGTTTTTATCATTTGAAAAAAGATTAATTTAAATAATAACTTATTTATTTATGTGTATAAGTTATTTTTTTAAATGATAAAAAAGTAAAAAGACACAATTAACATTAATTATGTATGTATTCATTAATTTCGGACAATGTATCAAAAGTTTTTCAAATTAATTAGTTGATTAATATTTCTGTTTTTATTTATTTATTCATATATTACCTAATAAAACATAGTAGAATGAAGTTGTAACAGAAGTAATGTAATCGGGACAAGCGCGAGGAATCGCACAGCGCGCGACGCCCCTGCATACTTTGTATGCGCGCCGTCTCATTGGAGAACTTCAATGGTTAAAAAATAACCATTCTTTGTAAATAATGGTTTAAGCCAAAAGTGAAAAAGAAACCTTTAGTTCAAAATTTCACCCTCTTTCACTCTCTGCAAGATTTACTAATCATTACGGGACTCTATATATATGTATGTATGTTTTAATAAAACAAAACTCTTCAAATGAATTATCTAACTATCGACAATCTATTTCATTACTATATTGTACAAGGTGTGTGTGCGTGCATGTATGAATGTGTATATAAAAGTATCTTTTGATCAAGTATTTTTACAATTAAAATAAATTTGAAATAATTCTTTTACCTATTTACTTCTTCTTGCATTATAGCTATGAATCTATAATATTCGGACAATTCATTATGTAATGCAGCAACAAAACTATCGGCAACTCTTCCTGCACCAGTTACAGACATTCTCTCTAAACCTTTTTGTACTACATTATGTAAGTATCCCAGTTCACTCAGTCTTAAAACGGCTTGCTTTTGCGATCTGTTAATCTTTGTCATAGGATCAATCTGAAAGCCATAGCTGGAATCTAACTTCAAAACTTTTCCTTCAACACTTTGAAGAGAATATATCAAATCCTGGACTAATATATCTTCTGAAATGCATTCTTCATTGAATATTTTACTTGGGTTCATTAATGATCCTCTTGAACTTATTTCTGTAGTATTCAATGATACAATTTGAGAACACGATGTTTGTGATAACTGTCCTAAATATTAAACCAATTAAACAATGTTCTCAGAAAAACTGCTATAGTCTTTTTCTTACCACTAGTAGATGCAATTGGACAAAATCCCAATTTCTGGTCAGGAATTGAAAAAAGTCTATCCTTTATCTGCTCAGCTGATTGGCTCATGTTTAGTAAAAATATTAGAATACTTATACGATTCTTCAAGAGCTAGTGTAAAAGAATAATATTTATGTAAAATTATGTTTGTTTCGCACTTATGATAGATCATATAATTTGACACCATTTTGCTTGACAATTATAAAAAGTTTTTTTTTTTTTTAACTTATTTGAACACAAATATTCCTCATTCAAAATTGGCTATTATACCATAATTTTAAGAAAAGATTAAATATAGACCAAAATACAAATAAACAAAAATATATCAAACATTACTTTTTACACTTGAGCAGAAAAAAGTAAAAATTTGTCAGACAATGTTATCTGGTCAATATTTATCTATTTACATATATATATATATATATATATGTGTGTGTGTGTGTGTGTGTGTGTGTGTGTATATAGACTAGAAATTGCGGGGTAACGAGCTTGCAACGCTTACAAATCTAACTAACTTCGCGTACGACAATAACTTTCGCGCGAAGTCTGCGTCGCGCAATGACCGCGTTTGATTTTTTAATCGCGTATTCCTCGCGTATACAATGTTTACTTACGTAATATATTGTATATACCTATTTCGCATGTGGCTTACTTCACATATCATTTAGTATCGCATTGACGTCGCGACACTTTTTTTGCATCGCTGCATTGTCGATCGCCGTTTTTATTCAGTCTATATATATATATACACACACAATATTATATATATATATATACAGGTATGCCTATGTGTACTTATAATTTAAACTGATATAATTTAGTTTTATGTGATTGTGATTATATTAAAATGAATTTAAATATATTAACACTAGAATTGCCAAAAGTTATCTTTGCTTCACTAAGTATTAAAAATGATTAAAATTCTTATAAAATTGTGTGTCACTTAATGTTCTCTGACTTTTATCATTTTAAGAGTCTGTGTGTAAAACACACACACACACAAAAGTTACTTCTAAAAAAAGTATCAGTTTTAAGATCATAAATCATACTAATTTTAATATAAAAGAAGAAATTGTATAAAAACTGAAATTTGTTTTACATTACCCCATCTTTTAAATCATTATGTAGTTTATCAAATTGTACTGCATCACGTGGTAGTAATTTACTTTTTATATATGTTACTATAGTTATGTCATCTTCCTTGAATGTTTCTATACCTTGAGTAGAAGACAATAATCCAAGGGAAAAGCGCATAAATCGTCTAATCAGGTCTATAAAAAGTAAAATATACTCTTAAAGGTTAATAAAATCAGTAAATATAAATTATTATAATTGTATAATGAATGAGATTTAAATATTATTTAGGATTCAATAACTTCTTTTATTATTACTTATGAACATATTACATTAATGTAACTTCATATAAAAAGGCACAAACTAACCTGGCTTTTGATCACCGCATAAAGAAACAATCATGTTTTGAACCAAATCAGCAACAGTTTCAGCTTCTACAGGATTCATGTTTTAGTGTGTAATATTTGAATATAACGTTGCTCTATGTCATACAGAGAAAAATCTGAGATCTAGTGGTGCAAAATGCAAATATGATGGGATTCGATTATCTCATTTCTTTGGAAGAAAAACATAGGTTTGTTCTGGTTGCCTACACTAGTACACGTTTTACACAAAAGTATAAACACAGGGCTGCGTTCGAAAACATCGCCTTACGGCCACCGCACAAACTCTTTCGTAGCGCGTTTGCCTAAAGAGCCGTCTACAATGGAGAGTTGTAGGCCGTAATAGTAAGAAATTGACCAATCACAGACGAAGTACAGAAGAATAATCGATTGTGATTGGTCAATTTCTTACTATTACGGCCTACAACTCTCTATTGTAGACGGCTCTTAAGGGTCGTCTTTTACGGCCTACAACTCTCCATTGTAGACGGCTCTTAATGTTACATTTGTCGTACAGACGGCGTCAAAAATCACAGACTTCTATAGTATACTNGACCGCTAGCTTCTTATGTACGGCTGGCTACAAAATCTATGTACTTAGGCCTGGTTTATGCGGGCAATAACTGTTAACTTATGCCGGAACTGGTAGAGTTTAACTATAGGATTTCAATACTTCTGTTTATACGCATCCGGCATATATGTAATACTCCTATATTGCTAGTACGGTGCCGACCTGAAGCTTACCGTTACGGTGCAGACAATATAGTAGCCTCTCTCTCCAGCTGCTTTGTGCGCATGCGGCGAACATTCAAGCACGTTTGGGCATTTCTTTTTCTCGCGTTCTTTCCAATGCTTTGTCTCGCTCGCACTCGCTTAGTAGACGCGCCTGCGCATAATGACGCTCGACTATCTATGCCTATATTTGGACTTCGTGCGTCTCTCTTTCTCGGGCCTCGTGTCTCTAATTGCGAAGATACGCGACTAGCAATATAGGAGTATTATATAAAGGTAAAAAAAGGCGCCAAGAGTACATGCGCAACTCGTATCTCTAGAAAAAGTATTACTATCAAAATCTTCCTTTACAAGATCTATTCTACAAAAGAAATGATATCAATAAGTTATGCCAAGTAAAATCTTTTATACATGGTTATAAAAATATATAAAATATATAAAACTTTGTAAGTTGTATATACGTTGTAAAATAGAAAATATTCTAAATCAATAAAAAGTTTCAAATATTGTATGACCACTGCACTTTTTATATAAAGCACTCATTGATGTAAGAAATGACTTCGCCTTGCGTGGAAATNCGTGGAAATTCTTAAACTATGTCGAATCATACATATAGATTTCGATTTGTGTGAAATGTCAAAAACTCATGTGGAATGTTTCAAAATAAAAAATATTTAATGTAAAAAAACTTGGCGCGGCTGCACTTTGTCTTTAGTTTTCGGTGGAGAGAGTACAGAAGAATAATCGATTGTGATTTGTCAATTTCTTACTGTTACGGCCTACAACTCTCCATTGTAGACGGCTCTTATAAGAGGCACGGGGTACCTCGCGCAGCGCGCGCGCACTTCGTTTGCGCATATACTTAGCGCGAGGCACTACCGTGCCTCTTGATAATATCTAATATTACTGATATATTGCAATTTTACTGTAATATTGCAGTAATATTACGTGCTATATGAGTATATATTTTGTGTATACAATTATATATATATACCCGGTAAAAAATTTTCCATGTATAAATTTGTATGGACATATTCGGCATATAAATTTGCATAATTAGACATAATTATTTTAATTTGTGTATAAGTATATATGATGATATATCAAAAATTTTTTAAAAATATAGTTTTATATAATTTTTTTGTATCTCACATGATACTAATAGAGTTATTTTGTAATTTGATATGGAATATCTCTGAAGCCATTCTCTTAAAAAAAGAAATTTTCCGTGTATAAAATTGTATAGACATATTTGGCATATAAATTTGCATAATTAGACATAATTATTTTAATTTGTGTATAAGTATATATGAAAAATTTTTTACCGGGATAGAAATAGAAACACATTAAAAAATGAATAGGGCAAACAGTGCATAAGTAAGAAAAAAAAGATTATAACAAATAGATATATGCCGAAAGTTGAATAAGCTTATGTCAAAATTAATAGAACAATATCAAGGATGAGGGTTATCCTTTGGTTCAATTGATAAAAAACAAGTATGTGTAAGAAGACGGCGATTATGAACCAATTGTGCAGGGTGTTATGCAATAAAACAATATGTAATGTTGAGCAAAACGTTTCGACTGTTTATTCAGTCTTCATCAGTCGCAAGACTGTAAATAGAATACAATAATTATTTTACAAAGTGTGTTAAGTATATTTATAAAGTTGTTATGTAAAGAAAGATGGAAAACGCACCTTTATATATGCACCTCTATTCTACAATGTATGTTACATAACGGTTATAATGTGTCGAGTTTGAAGATGAAGAACAAACTGAGAGACAAAACAACAAATAAGCAAAGTCAAAGTATAAAATCTCAAGAGTCAAAGAACTTTATCGATAATCGGTAAATAAGATTTATTTAATAAGTCCGTATCATTCATAATATTTAGAGTGTTTGCGTGCATTTTGATGTGTAGCATTTCAGATGTGATACGTTTGTAGTAATTCATTTCTTTGTCTAGAATTTTAACTGCGTTGAAATTAAATTTGTGATTGGCGTTTAAACAATGTTCTGACAAGACTGATTTTTCACATTTATTTTTGACATAATTCATATGCTCCTTGACTCTCGTGCCCAATTGTTTAAAATTGTTTAAAATTAATAGAGTTTATTCATATAAAAACAATATCGCGGTGAACCAATTTGATAATATATAAAACTAATTATATACATATGATACATTACTCTTGACAGAAGCTTATTCAACTTTCGGTATATATCTATTTGTTATAATCTTTTTCTTCTTACTTATGCACTGTTTACCCTATTATTTTTAATGTGTTTCTATTTCTACATATATATAATTGTGTATACACAAATTATTTAGATATAATATAAAATAATAATAATCTAATATAATTGTATTTATTTAGTGGCTATATATAATAGTATATAATTTTTCAAACGAGACTTTTACAATATATGTTTTTCCATATACCGGAGACATTATAATTTTATTTATTACACACATATATAAATATACATGTTAGTTGTTAACGTTAGATATTTAGTAAATGGCCAATAGTTTTACGTTTTGAGAAGAAAATTGAAAAGAAGAGTAGTTACATTATCGACACGACGTAGTTATGAACAATCAATTGCTACTATTTAGTTCGTACGGCGCTCGCTGGCGCTACGAGCAACCGCCTCGCTTGCCTTCCAATCCTCGCGCCTATTCCGCGAATTTTTGACGCCGTCTGTACACCAAACCAAACCTTGTCTTCAATTGTATACAAAAGTGCACTAAAGTGGTGTTGCATCAGCCGTACCGGTTGAATGTGCGTAGTTACGCTTAGATATTTTTGGACAATTTACGGTGTTTTTACACCGACTTCTTCAGTTTATCAGTGTTTTAACGAACATACAACTCCGTGGCTTGTACCCAAACCACGGTTTAGGACTTGTGTTACGATTCCTATAGACTTAGAATGGCGTATGGACTATCTTGAAACGGTCCTTTGAGCCATATATGCACCAAACCAAACCATACAAAAGTGCACTGAGCGATAAAGGCATCAGTAACCAGTCTTCAATTGTATAATAAAAAGCGCAGCAGAGAGAAGGAGAGAAAAGCAAAGGTAAATTGCTAACATGTGCATTATGTTGATGTAATTCGAGATTTTATGTTTTGATACAAGATTATTGCCATTTTGAAATTAATATTGTTTTGTTTTGCCGATAAAGCAAAAGATGTTTGCTTGCATAAGATAAAACGCAAATCACGGTGTATATCAAAAATGTATTGTTTATATTATTGTTTACCGCGTTTCAGAATTGTGTTGTCATTTTGAAAATGACTGTGCAGTAACGAGTATTCAAGATAACATATGACTTAAAACATAACCAATGTTATGGTTTTTAAACATGCAGACATTACTTTGCTGTAAAATATTAAATATTGTGATGGCAGCTGAAGATTTTAACATATATGTGTTCATATATATGATAATATATAACTGAATACAATACTGAAGTATAAAATACCATACAATTATATAAAGGACAGTTTAATTTAGACCATAAAAGAATACTTATATAAGCTGTGATTAAAATTACAAGTAAAAAACAGTATGTCAAAAAACTTACTATCAGAATTGAAGACACATAAGATATACTTATAAAACTTCTTTCAACAGCTAGTAAAAGCATGTCTTTACAACAGTGGACGCAATTACAACATAATATACCATGGAAAATATTTACTAGAGAATCTTCTACATATAATGAAGATAAATCTTCAGAGAAATATAATCATCAACTATTATTCCAAGGAGATGAAGCACGAACTGCTTGTGAAGAAGTCATTTATCAAACTAATAGTAATGCTGCTGGAAAAATAAGATATTTAAAATCAAGTGTGGTTGAAATTCAAAGTAATTCTGTTATAAATTTAACTTCTGTTAATAGAGAATCAAAGAAAGTTGCAGTTCATCAAGATTATATAACAAAACTCACTGCTAACACACTGTTGAAAGCAGTGGAGCAAAAGGATTTACAATTTTTACAAAATCATGTGACATCAGAGAATGTAAATATATCTGATGATTTTGGTTGGACTCCTTTAATGTCTGCTGCTTACTGTGGCCATTTAGAGATTGTACAATTTTTACTGACTCTTGGAGCTAAAAAAAACATTAGGGACAGATCTGGTCTTACAGCAGCCCAACTAGCTTTAAAAAAAAATTATTTAAATATAGTTGCATTGTTAAAAAAGAAATCGGAGTCACTAACCTGTAATAATCAATTGTCAATTAATATATCCAAAATAAATAATACAAGTGCTTTGCCAATAAAATCCATGTCTGTAGAATATCCAGTAGAGAATGAAAAAGTTCACAACATCACAGATCAGAAACTACAAGTGCGAAAAACAAAATTTTATTGTGAAATGTGCAAAGAAATCTTTCAAGAGACAACACCAGAAAAACATGAAAGTTCTATTCTACATATCTTTAGCATAAAGCCAAAATTGAAACATACAATATATGGAATATCAAAGCAAAATAAAGGATATAAAATGCTTGTAAATTCAGGATGGGATGAGGAAGCTGGCCTTGGACCTAGTGGGAAAGGAATAAAACATCCAATCAAAATGTGTTTAAAAATGGATCGCAAAGGACTAGGACAATTAGTAGAAAATGATTATAAACTTACTCATGTTAAATCAAGTGATACAACTGTTGTTAATGGTGCTAAATTACCTAAGCAACTATTGAAAAAAAGGGATAGAGAAAAACTACTTCATATAGAAGCTAGAAAAGAAAGAGCATTACGTATTGCATTATCTTAAAATAAAAGATGCGTGAATATTTTATACATGTAAATGTGACATTTATTTAAAGATATATAATATAAGTATAAAATGTAAAAAAACGAAATTACTTGTTACTGTTTTGTATACTTATGCTTGTAAGTTTTATCAGTTTTTAATTATATACTTTAGTTAAAACATTACTAAGAAGATAGAAAGGAGGCAATAACGCTGTACACCTGATATCCGGGTAAAATTCTTTATTCCGAAGATTTAACAATTGATACAAACGTTTCGATTCACTATAAGATTGTCAGTGTCTGTACATAAAAAAGTTACAATAAATGCATGGTCTATTCGTAACAAATAGAGAAGAATATGGATACGGAAACGATACGCTACAAACATATTCAGTTTGAGGAAAAAAGGGGAAGTGGCAACTCAGTAACCGTCAATCGCACACAGGAAGACGCAAAACATTCTCTTGATTTGAAGACAACTGACAGACTGAGCAGCCTCTTTCACATTCATGGTACATGTAACGGTCTTCTCATCCCACCACAACATTTGAAAACGAACAGAAAATGATAATGCCGCGTTGTAATTTTTTCCAAAAATGAAAAATACAGTTTCAGTTTGTCCGTGTTCGACATGACATTAATTGAATTGCCTTGCAATTTGATGTGTATTATCTTGGAGACAGACCTCTTAAAAAATGAAGACTGTCCAAAACTTTGGTATTTTGGCAATTGAAATTGTGGTCCGTATCAATTCTATGCTGTGTAACGACAGAAACATTCTCCGCACGACAATTAATCTGATTTTCAGAAATCCTAATTTGGAGTTTTCTCATGGTCTGGCCCACGTATGAAGCATCGCAATGATTACATTGCAACTTATAAACTACGTTTTTTCTTTGTTCGATTTCTATCGGATTTTTAATATTTTTAATAAATTGATTTAATTTATTGAGATTTCTATAAGCTAACAAATTTCCATCTCTCCTTTTTAACGACTTCGAAATTGTGTACGATAATTTATTGATGAAAGGTACAACGAAATACTTTTTGACGGTTTTTAAAGTTAGTGTGGACTCCGAACTGTCCGATTTTCCATTAATTTTGTTTGCAATCAAATATTTTACACGGTCATTGATAACTTTAAAAGTTATTTCCAACGAATAGTTGTTAGGGATGAGGACGTTGATTATACATTTTGTTCTTTGTCTGTGTAAGATTTTATTGAATTCTGTTTGGATGATGGTTGAGGTAATAATTCACTCACAACTCTTTAACACTTCGCAGAACAATTTATTAAGCAAAATCTCGCCGCGTGCTTTGATCTCTCAAGGAGATGACCGACTCCGCTGTTCGAAAGCGAATTACTCTTTTGGTGGCTGCTCGCGCTTGCTGCCTACAGCATCGGGCAATTCCGATCGACCCGATGTGTGTCGAATCATATTTACTTGTTATGTACACGCAAGTACAGCGTGACATACAAGTACGCACAAATCACAGCAAGCTGTACAGAATATTCTCGAAAATATCTTACACTGAAACACAGTGTGGGATAACAACAGAGCTTTATCTACCATTCCGATAATAGTTTTTATTTTTTGAGAGACGGTGTGAGGAGTGGTAATTTAAATACCTGCATGAAAATATGGACTTATGGATACCAATCGCACATGATTATCTCGTTATAAGCACAATCAATTTGACGTCCAAAAAGCTCAAAGAATTCCCATTCTGCGTCTCAATCGAGAACCTCATGTTATTTATATCCGTTGAAAATATCTAATAGGTAATTTAAATCCTTGGCGGGCGCAATTAAAATAATGTCATCTACATATCAGTAATAAAAGGTGGGTCTAAATTTTAATTTTTTTAAAACGGAAACTTTCAAATTTTGCATCATTATATCGGTAATTCTCAAAAAACGTAATCTCCGTGGTATATTGACATAAAAAACATAGATAAGTTTTTTATATTGCATAGCCACGTATTCATATTACGAATGGTGACTTAAAATGGTATGAAAAAACATAATTCACCGCTATCTCCGTTAGTTAATAATTATTTTTTATCAAAACTGAAAGTTGAAATTTACGTGTTCACAGAGAATCACCCATATCCGCGATGATGGAGGACAACGGAGAATCCATCGGAACTCTATATATTTGCTTATATATATTATTGTGAAGCGTAAAATAAGTAGATGACAAAGAAAACAAATACATAATTTTTACTTACAGACACTAAAGAAGATCCCGTAGTGGATCGAAACGTTTGCGTCATTTGTTAAATTTTCGGAATAAAGAAGAATTTTACCCAAACATCAGATGTACAGCTCGTTATTGCCTTCTTCCTATCTTCTTATTAAAACATAACACGAGCACGAAACATATAATTAGAAAATTACTATTTACCGAATTTATATTTTTTTTAAATGTTCTATACAGTTTTATGTTAATTACACAAGATGTCTAAAACATTTTGAAAAAGCAAATGTGTAAAAATAAATTGGATTAATCTGAACCAAAAAGTCACGTACTATTTTGCAAAATTCGTAATAGTTATCAAATAATTAATATATGTAATTCAATGAGCGCATGGAAAGCAATGGTCTGGATTCTGTAGACACAGATACGATTTTTAATTGTGAAAATCAGTTGATCGCAAGAAGCTGTGTCATACGCCATTCACTTATATGTTGTCTTGCCGTTAGGAGATTACACAAAGTGAACTTGTTCTTTCAACTAAAAATTATATACTTTTACAGGACTATCATTTCTATGCGCTCATTGGATTGCATGCATTAATTAATCACTTAACAATTGAAAATAAGTCAATAACTATTGCGATATATTTTGGTTTAGATTAATCCAATCTATCACTTCGGCGTGGTCAAAATTTTTAAGACATTCTATATATGTTAAGAGGGTCCTGGACCTTCTTGATATACTGATCAAACGAGTAATTCGTATTTTAGATTGCATTTTGTATTTATTGCTCGGATAGAAAAACGGCTCTACAAAAATAAAAAAATTAATCTCGGGCACTTTTCAATAAATCGAAAACTTAACAAAAATTGTTGAAGTTAACAATTACCTCTACTTATAGTGTACCTCTACTGATATTTGAAGTTCAAGAGTTATTCATAAAAACCAAAAAGTATCCGAGATAGACATAATATTGAAGAATGTAATAAGACTATTAAACTACCCAGCAAACAATTTGGTTGCGAGATGTCGCAGTTTTGTCGCCAACCGCCGGCGAAATTAGTAGACCAAATCCATATCCATCTGTGTCCTCATTAGGATATAATTTGGCGACCATATCTGTCAAACATGTGAGATGTCAAAATAAGACCAAAATCATAACAAGTCTGCCACTAGCAAAACAAAGCCAAAGTGACGCACCAAATCCAGAACAGATTTGGTGATCGTTTGTTGGCGCCAAAATCGCGCCAAATACACATCATATCTGTTACCAGCACTGTTAACAAAACAGTAACAAGTACAGACCAAATTTGTCGTCAGAAACGTCGACAGATTGCTACCAAACGCAGATCAGATCTGTCTCCTCGAATCCAAGTGGAATTACTACAAAAAAAAAGAAAATCAGTGGTATATCGCCTTATCGGAAAGGAATTAATTCGAGATTTCACTCGAATTGATTTCTAGAAGCCTGATTCAGCTCGTTGATCAACCGATGAACTTTATTGAAAGAGACCGAATCTGGAAAAATCCTAAATGTGATAGCGGGATTTGAACTCGAGACCTCCATATTCGCAGTCCCTGCACTCAGTTCGCGAGACCACTCGTGTTCCTTACTAACATATAATTATTTTTATCTATTTATTCTCAAGCT